TGTTTTCCACATTGTACCTTATATACGTTGTCACATAAAACAGAGGATTTGCTCAGTAAATGTTCATAATCTTGATCTTAAGGAGATGGACACTTGACCCAAAACTTTTTTCTTTACTAAGAATATTTAAACATCCCACATGCCTGTTATTTCTAACTTAGATGAAGGCAGTCATTGCTTAACCTGGTGACCCAAGGGTGACCAACAAGGGCTATTCTCAGCCTTTCCCTTTCAGCCACACTTGGTTTGTATCAGGTAGAATACAAAGAAATGCATTTCCTTTTATACACGGAAATAATATAAAGTGCCTTCACAAACAGGAACTGAAGGATTTGGAAAATTCAGAGTTTGCTTTGCTGTTGCCGTCAGAGAACTTGAAAGCAGGAAGATAAAAGTGACTGGTCACTGTTGGGCCCAAAGACAAGCTGCCCCAGATGTGCCTAAGTGGCTGGTTATTTTATATTGAAAGAAAGTAAAAGACAGGAGACCCAAGAATGATGTTTTTTGTCTAATTATCTATCTCCCTAAAAGCAGGACATCTCTGTGGTGGCCCAGGAGGTAGGAGGCAGATTTACAGTCTCATCATCCCAAAGGTTCAAAGTCTGTTTTTTTAATCTATATGTATAATAAGCCCTGAAAAGTTATTTATCCTTTAGGGGCCTACCTGGTGGCACAAGGGGTTAAGATACAGCACTATGAAGCAATCTGCAGCCACTGCAGCACCATTTCGATCCCCAGCCAGGAAGCTGCTCACATGGCACAGCAGACCTCTCCTGTCTTGCCTGCTGCTCCCCTCAGTATATTTCAGTGGATCTGTCTGTTGTGCTCACCACTCTGTCTCTGGTGAACACTCTCACCCCCCCGTATCTTTAGCCTGCACCCCAGCTCTTGTATGATAAATAAATCTTTAAAAAAATTATTTATCCTGGGCCTCCCTGGTGGCGCAGTGGTTGAGCGCTGGGTTGCGAAGCTGCCCGCAGCCTCTGCAGTGCCAGTTTGATTCCCAGCCACCTGGCGAGGGTCCCACTTGGCGCACAGACCTCTCCTGCCGCCCACTGCTCCCCTCAGCAGTGTACTTTGGTCCTTCTGCCTGCTCTGCTCCCTGCTCTGGCTCTGGTGAATTCTCTCACCCTCCTGCGCTTCTGACTGTACCCAGTGCTTGCATAAATAAATAAAAATAAATCTTAAAAAAAATTATTTATCCTTTAAGTTGCAAAATTTTTTGCTTCTGTTTTTCACTCCTAAATTTATTGCCCTCTTTCTAGGGAGGATTTGAATAACCATAGACTACATTAGTCTATGTATGGGCCTGGAAGTGCACGTAATGAAAGTTTGCCTTTTCTCTTATTAATCTCTATTGTGCTAATTTCATTACTTTCTATCCTACAGAAAGAGGAAGATTAGCTTTTTCCATACATCACCTACATGGTTCTGCAATAAGATTATTAGTAGACTTTTTAGTAGAAGACTTGGAGACTAGAAGACAGTGGATGATATATTTTAAACTGCTGGAAGAAAAAGCAATCTACTAAGAATCCTAATCATTCAAAAATGAGGGAGAAATTTAGACACAGATAAACAAAAAACGAAGAAGTTCATCAGCACTAGACTTGCCCTACAGGAAATGCTAAAGGGATTTTTTTTTTCAAGTGGAAGGAAAATAAGCTAGACAGTAAGTTGAAGTCATGCAAAAATACAAGATTCTCAAATAAGATTATTTGTACATAATACAAATATAAATCTGTATTATGTAATGGGTTCATATTTCCACTTTTAAAAATTATTTTAATTTTTTAAATGATAAAAGCATAAGCATAATTTTAAGTCTATGTTAATGGTACACAATATATAAATGTAATTTATATATTACATATTATATTATCTATTATATTATCTATTATATATTAATGGTAATTTATACCATTAATGACAAAATAGAGGGAGTAAAGTTGTTAAGGAAGAGAATTTTTTTGTGATTGAAATTGCTGTCAACTTAGAATAAATTGTTACAACTTTAGAAAGTTATATGCAATTCTTTTAGATCATGAGACACAAATATTTATGAAAGGGGAATTCCACTAGACTCTTAAAGGGGCAACTATTTACTGAGAGCAATTAATTAATAATTGTGATTATTAGGCATTCAAATATATGTAACTTTTATTTTCAACATACTTTAGAAATAATTGGTAAGAAACTATTGCCATTTTTACTATCCCCTGAATGTACCTTGCTTTGCTTTAGAAAAAGGAAAAATAATATCCAGGCTTTCTATTTTCACTTACTAGAAGAATTGCAGCATGCCATCTCGCAGCATGCCAGCCAAGAAATTCAGGCTGGCCTAGGTATCAGGACAAAAGCTGGGGTTTAAGGATGAAGTGGTAAGGTGGGGCTCTGCAGAGTCCCTAAGTGCTGGGGGCTTTACAGAATAAGGTCACAGGGTTTGAGCAGGCTTGCCTTTAGGCCAAAGAAAATATAATGTTGTCACTGATTAAAGGGAAGTAGTAGGAAAAGTCTTCTACTACATCCTGTAAACATTTTTCAAGTTGGAATTTCTTCATCATGTGGAGACATTTTCCAAACACCCTCAGTGCATAGGAAGGAAATGTTTTTGTTTCCCTTCTCCCATTTGGAGGCTAGAACTTAGATATACAGTGCTTAGCAGGTCCCACAGTGACTGTAAAAGTGAGCGTAAAAGCTATGCTCCTCTGCTCCACAGGGCAGGCTACTCCATCATTTTGACCCAGGCACTCTAGCAGGATACCCTAATAAATTCTTCTCCTTATCTTTATGCTGTCCTTGGTGAATTCTTTCACCCCTACAGGCCACCCGTTGCCCTCAGTACTTCCTGCACTGTCAATACTTGGCCCCATTGAGGGGTGCTAGGCGCAGTGTGCCTCTGGCCCCACTGAGGCTGACTCTGGCTGTTGCTCCTCCAGCTCACATGCTATGGGATGCAGAGGGGAGGAACCACCCTTTCCTGTCTGCCCTGCTGCCAGCAGCTGTAGGCGCAGCCTTGGAGCTATCCTCAGGCAGCACCCTTGGATGGTGTGCCAAGCCCAGCTGCTGGAGCTCAACGGGGTTGCTTGAGTTGGGGGCTGCCTGCTGCTTTCACAGTGGCCTGCAGGGGCTGGTAGACTGCCCTCCCAACCCCGAGGGAGCATGGGAGGAGGGCTACGGAGAGGTGGGGGGATGAGGCCACAAGCCTCAGAGCAAACAAACTGGTCATGTTCAGGGGCCTCTAGACCCATTTTCAGTTGCATTTAATTTTAACTTCTCCATCTATCTCCTGATTGTTGATTTTTAACTTCAAGTATGTGTTTTAAAGCATTTGTGTATTAATTTAATTATCTTTGTCATTTCCTCCAGTTTCAATTGTCTGAATGTTTTCCTGCTCCAAGTGATATTTTCCTGCTTTTCATGTCTTGTAATTTTTTTATTCAATGCTAGCTGGTAAATTTTACTCTCTTGGATATTCATTTTTACTGTATTTTCTTTAATAAGGTTGGGGATTGTCTGATCACAGCGAAGAAAATTAAATATAAGTTTAATCTGCCAATGCTTAAATGTTCCATTGTTTAAAATATATGCCTTGGCTACTTTTGTCTTATATTGGGGCTAAATTTCTTAGCCTGCCTCCCTGGTGGCACAAGGGGTTAAGCACCGCACTATGAAGCAATCTGCAGCCTCTGCAGCACAGTTCCAGAGTTCCATCCTGGGCCAGCCAGGGAGCAACCCACATGGCGAAGCAGACCTCTCCTGTCTCACCCGCTGCTCCCCTCAGCAGTGTATTTCAGTCAGTCTGACTGTTCTGCTCCCCACTCTGTCTCCAGTGGGTCCTCTCACCCTCCCGCACATCTGACCTGTACCCCAGCTCTTGTATGCATAAATAAATCTTTTAAAATAAATAAATAAATAAATAAATAAATAAATAAATTTCTTAACCACGGAGGAATTAGTATTTAAGTTCTGATAAGTAGCCAGCACCCTTTTATAAGTGTGTCCTCCATGGGTTGGCAACACGAGCAATGGCCAGCCCCAGCTGAGCCTCCATCCTGGTCCACCTGCTGACTTCTGATGTTCTCCCACAGCCTGGGGAGGGTCCCTCTCGCGCTGCACCGATCAGCACTCACCAGGCACTGGAGGGATCCCCCTCCCCATACACACCCACCTTCCCTTTCCGTCCTCCTCCCCCCTTCTCCAGCATAATCCCTGTAGAGCAGCTCCTTCTCCAGTCTCTGCCTGCCCTTGGCCTCATGGAATCCCGTGTGTCTCCCCAGTGGAAGCCACAGGACCCTCTGTGGGTCGCTTCCTGAGCTGCAGCCTAGAAACTGTCCTCAGACAGGGTCTGAAGCCATCACCGGGGACCCCTCGAGCGTCCTGGGAGTCCCACGCTTCCCAGGAGTTCCTCTGGGGTTACACCAGCTCCGCTTCAGCTCTCAGAGCCCAGGCAGGGCCCCACACCCGCCCCCCGAGGAGGAGCCGAGGGCGAGGCTCCTTCCTCACCGCGCTCAAGGTACGGCGCCCGGAGGCGGGAAGGTGGAGAAATTCCTAGCGGCCATTCCGGGGAGCTGCGCCTCTGAGTAGCGCGAGGCGGTCGAGGAACGGGTGAGGAAGGCGGTGGCGGGAAAGTTACTTTGCACGAGTTGCACGTTTAAAGGGCACATTTTAGAATTTAAACATCAGGCAAAGTCAAAAAGGGGGGGGCCTGGAGGGGGAGAAGGGGAAAGGAAGGAAAGGAAAGATGGGGGTGCAGGGGCGCGCAAGCAGGGAGACGACGGCGCACCCCACTGTCCCTCAGAGGCGGGCTGGGCCCTGCTCACGCGCTCCGGGGGCGCGCGCGCGTTCTGGGGCGTCCCGTCTCCCCTTCCCCCAACTCCGCCGGCGACTCATGCCCGGACAAGCCCCGGGCACAGGTGAGCCGGCGAGCACCCCCGCTGTGTTCCCCGCACTTCCACCCTCCCCCTCCCCCCAGGGCAGCGGCCGCGGCGGGGACTCACGCGGAGCAGGACCCCGAGGAGGATGAAGACGGGGGTCCTGGCGATCCAAGGTCGAAGCCTGGCTCCTCGCGCCGGATTCTCCCTGCGCGGGCCGGGGAGGCGGCCAGGTGGCGGGGTCCGCTGTCCCATGGCGCTACGGAGCTCGCAACCCAGAGATCAGGAATCAATGGCGTCCGGGCGCGCAGGAAGGTCCGCCGCCCACGCCCCGACCCGCCGCGAGTTCCCGCGGGGCCGCGGCGGTGCCCGTGTGGTTGGCGGTGTGAACCCGCCGCGGTGATTCAGTGGCTGCGCCTCCTTTTACTCAGAATGGTGCTGGGCGCCTCCTTTCACTCACAGTGGTATTGGGCAACCAGAGAGTGAAAAATCGGACGTGCGCCGTCTGCCGGAGTTTATTTTCTAGGTCCCTTTCAAGGCCAATTCTGGTTCTTAAGCCCGTAGCCACCTGCAGGTCTTCTTTTTTTTTTTTTTTTTTTCAAAAATTTTTTGAAGACTTATTTATTTATACAAGCACTAGGTACAGTCAGAAGAGAGTGGGGAACAGAACAGGCAGACTGATGAAATACACTGCTGAGGGGAGCAGCGGGTGCTGCAGAGGCCGTGGGCAGCTTCACAGCCCAGTGCTCAATCGCTGCGCCACTAGGGGAGGCCCCACCTGCAGGTCTTCTGGCTGCCTCCTTTTGCCCACTCACAGGTCTGTCCTCCGCCTCCTTCACTGACCGTGCGCATGGATGTCATTGCATCCAAAGTCACTTCTCCACCGGCCCAGTGGGAGTTCCTCAGCCTGGGGGTTGATCTTTAGCATTTCAGTATCAGAGCGCGTGGCACACTCTCAGTGAACAGATGGGTGACCCCAATGGAGGACACGGAGACCATGAGGGCAGATCTGAACCCAGGTCCCCAGCAGGCATCTTCTCTTCCATTGCTACCTTGTGTGCTCTGGTAATTCCGGGCTCATCGGTTTGGGCTCAAGTTTTGATGGACGGTAAATGTCAGCTCAGCTATACTGCTCCTGCTGTTAGGTAAGCCCAAAGAACCCAGTCCTGCCTTTCCTCTGGATTTTCCTTCTTTGTTAGATTCTTTAAAACCCGTAGGAAACAGAAATACTGGAAACTTCTTGGCCCATGAAAATGGATGAGCCGGTAGGGAGTTTGCACAAGGGACAGGCCCTTCTCGCTGTTAATATGCACCCAGCACTGTGCTGTGTCCAGTATTCCAAAGACAGGCAAGTTGAGGTCCTCCCTTTGTGGTGTTCCCAGGGCTATTTAAGGGGTGGTGTGAGAGTAGAAGGGAAGGGAATCCCAGGGAGCCTCTAGCTCCATGCCTTGTCCTGGCCAGAGACCGTAAGATTTGAAATTTGTTTTTCTCCATACATACAATTTTCCTAGTTGTTACATCTTTTTTTAAATTAATGTTTCCCTTACATAGTTGTAGTCCCCATAGCTCTCCCACCACCACATCACCCCTGAACCATCAACATATTCCCTTGTGTTCTTCTTTCCCCTGTTTTGACCCCCTCCTTTGCTGTATGCAAAGATCTATTGTCAGCTTGCTAGTTTTGACTTTTTCTTTTTTTTTAAAAAACCCACTAAATTTTAATAAAGACACCATCCAATGAATTACGATATAATTAAAAGTTTGCTTTAAATATTTTTTAGAGAGGGGACACCACACTTCTACTCAATTAGGTGAAACATTTTTGTAGTCCAGAGCTCTTTTATTTCTTTTTGCACACCTATCATGCCATGAATTCATAGGGAATAGGTTCTAGCAGCTCAGGCTCCTTCCCATTGGTTCTCACAAAGTGTGCTTCTCTAGGTGGAGCAGGCTGGCGCTTCAGCTGAACCCAAGTACCCTTCTCTTTGGCTTCCTTTTTCTTCTGATCATTTTCTTTCACACGTTTCAGGAAGCTATCTCGGCTCTTAGAGTGCTTAATGTGCTCAATACGAACATTAATTCTCTTTGCAAGAATTCTCTTTGCCCTTTACTTGCTTGTTTACAACAATGCCAACTGCATGCTGGGTAACATTATAGACTCTTCCAGTTTTGCCATGGTAACATTTGTGGGGCATTCCTTTTTGAACAGTGCCCATCCCCTTGATGTCAACAATATCACCTTTCTTATAGATTCGCATGTATGTGGCCAAAGGAACAACTCCATGTTTTCTAAAAGGCCTAGAGAACATATAGCGGGTCCCTCTTCTCTTTCCCTTTGTGTTAGTCATTTTGGCGACTTACTGGAAGATGGCGGTTCCGGCCGAAAGGGTTTTGACTTTTTCTTGACCTTTTGTTTGGTTTCTCTATAGTCCACATATAAGTGAGACCATCCAATATTTATCTTTTTCCTTCTGGCTTATTTTGGCTAACATAATCCATCCATGCTACTTAAATGGCATGAGTTTGTCTTTATGACTGCTGGATAATATTCCATTGTGTAAATATACCACAACTTTTTCATCCATTTGTCTATTTTGGGGCATTTGGCTTGTTTCCATATCTTGGCTATTGTAAATAGTGCTGCAATAAACAGAGGCGTGCAGGTTTCCTTTCTAATTAGTGTTCCTGTGTCCTTTCAGTAGATTCCTAGGAGTAGAATTGCTGGATCACATGGTAGATCCATTTTTAGTATTCTGAGGAGCCGCCACACAACTTTCCATAGTGACTGGAACAGTTTACATTCCCACCAGCATTGTAAGAGAGTGTGTTTGTCTCCACATCCTCTCAGCATTTGTACAACATCATTTTTGGAAAAGATTCTTTTTCCTATCCAATTGTCTTACCACCTTTGTTGAAACTCAATGGAACACACATATGGCCCATTTCTGAACTCCATTTCATTTGCCATCCTCATGTCAATACCATGTTGTTTTAATTATTGTAGTTTTATAAATCAGTCTTGACATCAGATAGTTTAAGTTCTCTAACTGACTTTTCCCTAAAGTTATCTATATTTCCATATAAATTTTATGTTAAAAATTTTCCAGTTAAAGAAATTCTGTTGGAATTAAATGTAGAGATCAATGAGAATTGACATCTAATAATACTGAGTCTTCCAATCCATGAAATGGTTTCATTTTATATATTTCTTACTTGACCTTCACAATATTTTATAAATATTCTCTGCACACATTGCACACAGATTTTATAAATGTGCCCCAAATATATTTGATAATATTATCAATGGAATTAGTTTAGATTATTTTATTTTCAAATTGTTTGTTGCTGCTATATAAAAACACATTAATTTTTGTGCATTGAACTTATGTCCTATTGTAACAGGGTGGTCCCTAGGAAAGGGGGAGGTTCCCTGCCCCACCCAAGGGAGGAGAAGGGAGAGGAGAAGAGAGGAGGGAGAGGAGAAGCTGCAGAGGAGACTGAGGAAGGAAGCAGGATGGAGCCAGAAGGAGACCTGGAGGAGGCGCATGGAGCCTAGAGACACATGAAGAAACTGCGCTTGTCTTTTGGTTGTGGACTGGGTGACACAGATGTGGGTGAGACCCATGGGGAGGTGACAATGGCAGCTTTTATCTTGATGTTGATTTTGCTCTTTTCCTTCCAGGTTTGTCTGGTAGTTTCTGACCCTTTTCTGTGGGTCCCCACTGGAAGATGCTTTAGACTTGTGGCAGGCTTTGGGCCCTTGCTCTGGGCCAATCCCATTTGGACAGAGTTTTACCCACGAGGGGACGGGTAACTTTGGGTGTTTCATTTAGAAATTAGACTCTTTGCCTTACCTGTATTGTTTCCTAGTTTTATTAAAGTTCCTTCCCATTAAAGTCTCATATGTTTTGTGTTGATGTGGTGGATGGCAGAACCCATTTAGAATAGGCAGGTTTGCGGGGTTTGGGCTGCCCCTCTCCCTGCCCTATAACAGATTTGGCGCCCAATGTGATTTAGGACAGAGCCATCCGTGGTTAGTCAGCCCCATGGGGAAATTGGGCTTCCCTATGGCACTGGCTACCATAAGCGCAAATGTGATTTTTGGTTTCTCCAGTGTGTTTGTTTCATTATATGTTCCTAGTTGGTCTGTAGATTACTTAGGATTTTCTGCACAGGTAATAGTATTGTCTGTAACTAAAAGAAGTTGGGAGCGGGGAAGGAAGGAGAAGAAAAATTAACAGGGGAAAAAATGTTTCAGACCTAATTTACAAATAAATCTTCAGAAAAACACAGAGACAACAGAATATAGAAAAATAAGAACAAAGGAAATGTTAGCTTCCAACACCAAAGCTGTAACAGACAGTAAACACATTCTAACTTCTTGCCAGATAAAAATAAAACCTGATTTAGAAGTTAGCTCAGTCCCTTTTACCTAAAATATGCTGTCCATATATATTTCAACACAAAAGTTACTTGGCATACTAAAAAACAAAATAAATAAAATTTGAAGAAATGAAACTATCACCAGAATGTAAAATAGATTTGGCAGAGCTGTTGGAATTATGAAATCATTAATTTAAAACAACTATGAATAATACTTCATGATTATAATAAAAAAGTGGACAATGTTCAAGAACAGATGGGGAGTATAAACAGAAAAACTTCAAGAAAAAGTCAAGAACATATTCTAGTAATAAAAATCATGGTAACAGAAGTGGAAAATTTCTTAGATGGGTATATGACCAGACTGGACATAGCCAAGGAAAGAATGTGAATTTGAAGAAATGTCAATAGAAACTTCTAAAGCCAAATCCCCAAGAGAAAAAATATGAAAAGATAGAACAAAATATTTAAGAACTATAAGACAATTTTAAAGGTGTAACTATATAATGGAAATACTAAAAGAGGATGGAACAGAAGAAATATTTGAAGCAATAATGACTGCTAATTTCCCCCAAATTAATAATGGACACCAAAGCACATATCTAGGAAACTCAAAGAACACCACGTAGGATAATTAAAAAAATATACACATAGTATACTCAATCTTCAGAGTATCAAGGAAAAAAAGAGGAAATCTTAAAAGAAAAATGAGGAAAAATATACCTGACCTATCGAAGAGGAAGGATAGGAATTATATTGAGCTTCTTTCTCTTCAGTAACCATGCAAGCAAGAAGAAACTGGATTAAAATATGAAAGGAAAAAACCCAAACTATCTAGGAAGTCTGTTTCCAGTAAAATTATCCTTGAAAAGTAAAAGAGAAAATAAAAATAAAGTAAAATAAATTATTGAAATAGTTTCTAGTAGGCATGCCTTCCAAAATATGT